TATATAAATAGTATACATATGAGAACCAGTGTGATGGAGCTGTTGGCTAGAACTCAGGAAACCTGGATTCAAATCCTCACTTGGCCATTGAAACTCACTTGAATTGGGATGACAGCAGTGCTAAACCATTCCTTGAACACTTGTGATGCCTTGAAAATTGTATTAGGGTCAACACAGCTTGGAAGTGATGTGGTGCCATGTAACACACACAATATTGTCAATATTTATATTTTGTACTAAATTTATTACATATATAATATGTAATTATGTTTGTGTGTATAAACATTTTTAATTCCTCACCTTTTGGTTTATGAGTTTCTTGTGTAACTAGGAAGTAAAATAAATCATGAAAATATGTTATAAACATGTCAGTTCTGAAAAAATTGCCACAATCAAACTGATTGGAAAATGTAAAGAAAAAAAATCAACAAAGTTTGAACAATTTGGACTTTTGAAAGAGCTGTGGCTCTTATTATGGTTACTATGTTTACTTGTTTGATTACAGATTTTACAGAGCGATCTTTTAAAAGTGTTTGCAGAGGAAATCCATCTGAATTGTGCCTAGTCACAATCCCCTTATAGAATCACCAATTATTTTATGATATACTCATTTCTATAACATCCTGTTAATGTACACTTTCAGCTAAACAAGACAATTCCATTTTCTGTATTAATTTTTATGCACATCTTACCTGATGCTTTTACAGGCACATCCTTCACTGGCTGCTTGGCTGCAACACACATATAAAAGAGTAAATAGCTGGTTGTAACAAATTTTGAAAAGCTATTATACTACGTGAGCATGTTTGGAAGGAGTAAATTTTAGAAAATAAGAGGGTATGTACCTCTTTCGACTGGCTTTTCTTTCTTGAATGGTTCTACAAAGTAGGAGAGACAAGAATAGCAAATTATTTCTATGCCTTGGAGTTCACAACACAGTTAACACAGAACCCTTCAATACGTCACCAAGAATATGGAGGCAGAGCAAGGCTGTAGAATTGCCACTTCAGATTGCAGGTGCAAGATTTTATCTTCAGTGCTTCCCCTTATGAACAACTACCTGTAAGTAAGTCAGCACATCAGTGGCTGGTGTGGACATTCTGCATTGCACATATTTTGCAAGCAGGTATGTACTAGTATGCATGGTGAGTGGCTGGGTTTTGATTGGCAGTGATAAACTGGATGTTTGCCAGGAAAATCTATTAAAAATCTAAGACTAGTTGGGAGGAGAAATGGAATGTGGATGGAACTGTGTTCTGATTGGCTGGCGTGCTCAGCCTGCCTGACTGGAGAGGTGTTGTTATAGAAGATGTCAGGTGTGTGAAAGAAAGCAGTGGGCTTGGTTTTGCTAGAGACAGTCAGTTTGATGAGACTGTTATATTAGGTTGGAATGAAGTGTTAGTCTAGAAGGGACAGGTAGTAATGAGCTGTGCTGAAGGGCCAAAATGTAAAATAAATTTTATTTGCATGATGCTAACTTGATAGTTTTAATACTGAGCCTTTTTATTCCTTAACAAATCTTTTTGTTTGTTTATTTTTGAAAACAGCAGTCATAAGACATTATTTCACATATTCTGCTGGTCAATACTGAGGCTCTTAGTCAAGGCTATGTCAACAAGATAATATAAGCTGTGTGTGTTCCAGTCCTTAGTGCTAGCAATGTTTAAGCAGCAGTGGATGGGGAATGCTGTCCATTGAACACACTGAATCAAGCAGAAAGAGGAAGCTCTTATGTATTTTAATTATGGACCAAACTAAACTTTCCAGGGATTGTGCATTCTCTACTATCAACCGATTTTTCTTCATACAACAGGACTTTCTCAGCATTCAGATGTACAAACTCAGCCTGTGGTTACAGTCAGGTAACCAATCACAAAATAAAGAACATTAAATGCAAGATGCATAGTTGAGGAAAATCACACTTTGCGACAAACAGACCTTTCACTGATTGGGGAAGCACTTTTATAAACATGTCAAAACCACTGGTTCTTAACCTTGGGTTACTCAGGAGTTTTGGACTGCAACTCCCAGAAGCCTTCACCACCAACTATGCTGGCTGGGGTTTCTGGGAGTTGCAGTTCAAAAACATCCGAGTAACAAAGGTTAAGAACCACTGAAATAGACCACCTAATTTGACACTAGACCATATCTTTCAACCAAAGCACAGCAATTGGGGAACCTCTCATTAAACATGCCCAAGGAATCAGAGACAGACCTTTCTTTCATTCAGCCTGACTTCTCCCTATGTCCCCCAACAAGTGAACTTTCTACAGAAAAAAAAAAAACATAAAGTTTGGTGCAGGATTATCTGCATTTCCAAAAGTGGCACTTCTATAACAATTTGCCTGGACTAAGGTTAATCCTCGAGATTCACCTTGAAGTTGACAAATCCAATAAACATTCCTAATACTTGCAAATCAGATGTCTTCTGATATTTTGGAGTATGTTCAGTAATAAGCATCTTCATTCAACAAGTATTTATTGTTAAGAATATTTAAAATAATCATATTTTGTGTCAAACTCCCATCTATATTTGAAGCATATATTCTATAGCTTTGATGTAAACCCCTTACCGTTTGCTGGAATATGCTGCAAATTTCTAATCACAGCTAGCTTGCTCCCCCTACCTTATTCATGCAGAAGTATCATTGTTGAAGAATAAACTAGCATACTGAATATTATATGCTGTGAAATACGAATCAGAACACTGTAACAAAGCCTATAACTACTGTTGCTATTTCTGCACATCTGCACTCCAAATAAACAATAGTTAAGAAGGATATTTTGAAGTAAAGTTCTAACTGGAGTTTGTGGGCAGAGCCTACCTTTCAATATATACACAGGATCTCAGGCATGAATCTTTTCCCTCTTTGCTTCCTCAAATGCAGGACACTCTTAGGTATTTTAATTAAACTAAACTTTACAGGGATTGATGCATGGGGGAGCCGTAGTGCATGCTATAATAATGACTCTGGAAAGATTTAGCTACTGAGGTGTGTTGTGTGTTTGTGTGAGTGTGTTTTATCGGAACTCCTAGAATTGTCCAGTACTTCCCCATGCAGAATTCTGGGCGTTCCAGACAACAAACACATATCTGCAGACACCATCATTTAACTCATTTGGACAAGGCTGGAGCCTCCTTCTGGGCATTCGTTTTCTGCTGCAATGTTTCCTGGCAAGAAGCTACCATAATGCTTGCTAGGGGTTGTGGTTCTTAGGAGTGTGCAATTCAGGCTTGTCTGAGATTCCAAATCCTAGAACTCTCAATTCTGGGAGTTCTACCTGCCAGACTCACATGTACAGAATGAAGTCTTCATGCCTAGAACAGGGTGAGCTGTGTCCAAGCTGCATGTTAGGGAAGGAAATTGCCCTGGTATCTTATGGTCTCTCAGCAAGTACTATAGTAACTTCCTTTTCTAACTGGTAGCTTGGTAGCACAGCCTGTCCTAGACCATGAAGCCTTCCAGACTGGCCTATCTTCAGGTGAGCATAAATTAGGAGTACAGTGGTGCCCCGCATAGCGAGGTTAATCTGTTCCGGATTAACCTTCGCTATGGGGAAACATCGCTATACGGAATGGAAAAGCCCATTGGAATGCATTAAACTTCATTTAATGTGTTCCAAATGGGCCCAAAACTCACCGTTCTGCGATGTTTCCCCATAGCGGCAGCCATTTTTGTGCCCTCGGTAAGCGAGGGCAGGGTGCGAAAACGCTGCACGTGGCCATTTTGGGTCTTCCGGTGGCCATTTTGGAACCACCGATCAGCTGATTTTTAAAAAACGCTATGCAAAGATCGGTAAGCGAAACGCTTACCGATCGTCGCTAAGCGAAGCGCTTACCGATTGTCGCTAAGCAATTTTTGCCCATTGGAACCGTTGGTATGCTTTCGCATTAGCGATCCCAAAAAACAGATCGCTATGCGAATTCATGGTTATACGGTGCGCTCGTTAAGCGAGGCACCACTGTATGTCTGGCAGGTGGATCTCCCAGAATGGAGAATTCTGGAACTTGTAATAGAACAAAACAACAATAACAAGAACTGGCACACACCTAGTAATTCTTCAGGAGGTACCCTCTGTAGAGGGTACCTCCTGCCTCTGTGAAACATCACAGAGGCAGTTTCACAGAACTGCCTCTGTGAAACATCACAGCAGTTTTCTCCCGGAAAGTGTTGCAGCAGGAAATAAGAGCAGTAATGAGAACTCAGCTTTTCTCTGGATGAGGGAAAATGAAGGTGTCTGTGGGCTGAAACTCCCAGAATTCTGTGTGAGGAATTCTGCTGAGGAGTTATTGTTCCTGTACTTGTTGTTTTACTGTAAATAGTAATTGCTTTATAATGAAGGAATAATTCTGCTGATAGATGTCTTTACTAAGATGAGAACTGCCATTACAAATCCCCTGAATTTGCTTTAAGTGCTGGCATCATATTTCCAGAGGAAAACTACAATTCAAAATGAGTACTGTCGTTTTCTCATGTAAGGAGTTATAGATTTGTGTAGCAAGAAAAATGTTTGCCCTTGAAGTAGTCTGCAGCAGTTTCATGTGGAGCCAAATGGAAGGAAATGTTCTGTATGAATCCTATGTAAAAATGGGCACATGTCCCTTACACACTGGTGTCCTATGCATGTCTACTCAGAGATAAGTCTCACATGAGTTAGTGGAATTCACCTCCAGATAATTTTACAGTCTTTACTTTTATATGCCTATCGAGAAGAAGATATTCCACCCATCTCATCTTAAGGTGCAACTACATTGGATCTGCAGACTGCTACTTTGATTTGCAGCCTATATTACATTTGAAATATCAATCGCTACTCATACAGGGGCTGCAAAGTGATTCAAGAGTTCACCCTTCATGTAGAAAGTGAGGCAATTCACATTCAAGCCCATAGCCTCACCTCCTCCCTTCCCTCCTCCGGTCCCATCTCTGATGATCCTGCCTCCGATGATCCTTTTATGATTTGCTGTGAAGCCACTTGATCGCCACATTCCCCTACCCATCAATTTCTTCTTTTCTTTATCTTCCACTTCCTTATTCCTAAACAATTCATTGTGCCAATAGTTTAAAACTATATGTGACCAGAGATGAGGTAATTCCTTACTTGTATTGTGTGGGGTGGGGGGTTGCGATGTGCCCCCTCTTACCTGTGCAGTGGCGATCCTCAGAGACAGCAAGCCCGGCTTCCCTTCCAGGAGCCGGCTACTGCTTACACTCACTGCACCAGCCTTTCAGCTGGGTGACAGTTGCGGAAGCCCCTAGCCTACTGCCTCTGAGGATGGACATTGGAAAGTGGCTTGGGAGGGAGGAGTTTCTCTCAGAAACTGCACAATGTTCACTGAACACACATTATATTTGGGAAGGATTTCCGTTCATTAGCTGGAAACTGTGATAATGGAAGGAACTCCTGATTAGAGATGGGTATGAACTGGGAAAATTGTGGTTTGTGAAAGTTCGTGGTTTGCTGCTATTAATGAACCACAAACTTTCACAAACTTTCCAACAAAACAAACTGTTTTGTGGTTCCACATACAGCTTGCTAAATAGCACTTTCCAGGGAAGAGCTGTGGGTAGGGCGCTAAAACTCAGACATCCCAAACCCAATCTTCACCAAACCTGGAGGAGGAGTAGAGGAGAGTCAGAGGAAGACTTGCTTCGAGTTTGGCATCTCTAACTCACATGGGGCCTGTTCTGCTGCTCACAGAAGTTCCAAATGATACAAAGCGTACAAATCCCCAATGCCGATAACAGTTTGGTGTTTCATTTCATTCTGGGCAGGTGCATTTCCCCAAAGTGGCATGGAATGAATCACTAAATGGCCAGATTGGTGAGTATTTTTGCTTCATGGTTCATTTCGTGCCCATCTCTACTCCCGATGTTTACTATCCGCTAGAACACACACCATTATTTTTTACGTAATATAGAACACACTGAAGGTACACTCACAGTTGCCACCAGGTGGTGCTATGGTGCAATAAAAACCAGAAAGAATGCTTTTAATTTTTTCCCCAAGGTGATTAAATAACATTGAAATAAAGAAACAGGAAGGCATGCAATCATTTACCTCGCACAGCTACCTTCACAGAAGCTGGATGGGCTGCAGGAGCTTTTTCTGGTTCTTAAAATGAGAACAAATTATAGCAATAACTACAAGGCATTCTATAACAAAAACAGAGAAATTGGAGGAAACTACAGATGAAAAATATTGCCCTTAGCATAACTCTTAAACAGACAAAGGAGATTATTAAAAACAAAGTGCCTGTTGGTATTCTACTAAATCAAAAGCATGGAAAAAGTAATTAGCAAAAATGGTGATTTGGAATCACTTGATAATTACTACCATTAACCAATGCTGGGGAGGGGAGAAGGTTTACTGCAGCATTCAACATTAGAACTTAGTAGTCTTGCCCCCCCCTTTTTTGAAAAAACTAATTTTCCACATGCATCAGTGCTTTTTTCAGAAGTAAAATACAACTTCTGCATTTGAATTCTGAACCCTGTTTTTCTTTTCTGCCTTACATGAGTCTCTATTCAATCAACCAATCAATCACATTATCGAGTGTAGGCAAGAGCAGCCATTCTTCATGGGGAATGAATGGCTCCCTGGGGGGCCACTGGCCCATTTGAAGGCGGGCACAGACTGGAAACCGATCTTCATACAGCACCTGATAAGGTTCGTTATGTGACTTATGCAAACCTGATTTGGCCTATATTTCTTTCATATTGTGTTTATGGCCATGGCAAAAAAAAAAAAAGAGTTGAAAATGACTAGGCTAGAGTCATCAACCCAACTTTTATGTTTCATGTATGTGCAGCATCTTTTTCAAAAAACATTGCATCTTTTTTGCAGTATTATAAAATAAAATCTAGACGTTTATGGCCATGGCAAAAAAAAAAAAAAGTTGAAAATGACTAGGCTAGAGTCACCAACCCAACTTTTATGTTTCGTGTATGTGCAGTATCTTCTTCAAAAAACATTGCATCTTTTTGGCAGTATTATAAAATAAAATCTAGAGTTACATTTGGAAGAGCCTTGCTGGATGCATCTTTTAGGGTCCTTAGCATTGTATACAATTAGAGTTAGGTTCAAACTTTTCTCAGTTATGCTATCTTGACCCTCACAATGCTTGCTTCACCAGAACACGCTCAGGAGGTCCATGTGGCCCTCCTTGCTAGTCCATTTTGCAGAATATTGAACTGTCACTCTGTATGTGTTGGATTCTCACAGCGGAAAGCAATGTGTTACAAGTAATGGCGTATTTGAGTGTTCAGTGCGAAGCTCTGTTCAGCTCCTATGAGATTGTTCAAATGAACACATTTATGGTGTTTCCATGATCAGAAGCCCTTCCTTGACCACATAAAGCTGTAAGTGTATTTGTAGACCTTCACAGTGAACCCACAAAAATCTGTAGGACTTCTCAGTAGGTCAAGGCTTACATGCACTGCCCCCATCTGCATTAACCTTTCAGTCCTATATATTTGAATCAGGCTATGAATTCCACTAAACTGGAGATTGCAGGACACAGCCAAGCTTGGCACCCTCTACCTTTGGGGGCTTGTCTTTAATTCATCAACAACTTTGGCAGCCTTTCTATATCAAAACTGTCCTCTCTGGAAGACATGTATATATCAGGAACAGGGGGGCTCAAAAGGGGAACAAGCCAGAAGAATGGGCAAGAAGATGCCTCAGATGCAGATCTGCCTCCCATATAGGGCAGGAAAATCGGTGCCTGTAAAATGGGTATGGTACCCAGTGGGTAGGGTAAAAAGGTCTTCATTCTCAAAAAGTGGATACTTGACCCTTCTCAGTTTTTCTATTCAGTTTTTGGTTACCAAGAATACATTCAGCTAAGATCACAGCTGACATTTCAATCCTTATAAGAGCTGCTTTTTCAGGTCATATGAGTGAAAAACAAATTTAAAAAGGAAGGAAATAACTGTCAGTCACAAATAAGAAAGTGGAATTGGAAATACGTGTGAATTGATTTAGAATGGAAGCAGCAGCTGAAATCTAAGCATGCCATTTTAGAATTATAAATGATGCTATCTTCTCTTCTTTGCATCTTTTTTTTTGCAGTATTATTCAATTCTCTGCATGTCTACTCAGAAGTAAGTCCCACTGAGATAAATGGGGCCTACTCCCCACTAAGTGCAGGACTGCATAGGATTGTAATCTAAATAACTGTGATTTATGTATATCTAAACAAGCTGCTCTAAACCTGTGCTGGACGTGGAATAAGTTGTACAGGCAACACTGCAAAATGAATTTTACTTTTCAAACCCTTGATCAAAACCAATTCTTTCTTATCCATATGAGTTTTTAAAAAACAACACTTCTATTAGTACACAACTTCATAGTACTGAATGTTTTATATATATACCGAAGGAAGCTTTAAGATTTACGTCTTTGTCACAAAGGAAGATAGAAATGGATATGTCCTCAGAAAGGCCACAGTCTAACCCTTCTACTCCTCAACCTGGTACCTATTTTCAGTGCCAAACCACAGGCCTCCAACATGTGCTTGCAGAGTGCCTCTTCTTCCCCTGCTCTTACATCTCTGAGACAAAGAGCAACAAAGCTCTGCCACCCTCTGAGGCAGCATCTTTGGTAGAAATTCCTCTCTCTGTCAATCCTTTGTTTTCATGTGAATGAGGCCTGCCTCTTCCACTCATTTCTCTGTGCTCAAGACCCTTCTGCCCTTTTTCAACATTTCCTATTAACACCCCTTTTCTTTTATCAAAAGCAATAAAAAGCCTAGAAATTTCAAGGGGAAACTCATTTATTCTTGGGTGTACGTACATTGCACTCTGGACTAAAAATATTTCTAGGTTAATCTGCTGCCTCTATTAGCATGTTTTCCAGGAATCACTTCAAAGCATGCTAATTACCACATTGAGATGAAATTAATCATAAAGCAGCTTTCGGCCATGGGGGTCTGCTGAAGCATTCAAGAAATGCTTTATAGTTACCAGATATGGAAATTTTAAAAGGTGTCACTTGTAGTTGATATGAATCATTTATCACAATAATCTGCTATTACTGGAATCTATAAAACCTAAATACACCGGCAACATTATACACACTAGCACATGTGATGTACAATTAAATACCACAAGCGCTTTTAGAAACATTTAGGATATTTTGGTACTGTTTAGATAAAGTGGTACTTTTGTATCTCTAGCTGGTCGGATCATGTACAAACCCATTTCAAGCTGAAATGCCCCCAAATCCCTTTCTATAAACCATGTGTGACAAACTGAAAAGGCACAATGTTCTCTGTGCAGCTTTTCAAGATAAAATATCTTTTTTGTTGGGCAACGTGGGACAAGGAACTTGATCTTAGAGCAGAATAATCTGGAAGCATGGATCCTTAGAGATTAAAGCCCCAGTCTAAGTGGAATGTTATTTCTAACATCTCACCTGATCAAGTGCTATTTTCTCTTGAAAGTGTGCATAGAATTTTTGTATCTTTTGATCTAATAAACGTATTACCTCACTATGGATTTTGATGTTTTTCTTATGGCCAGCATGGGTTTCCCTCTGTTTTATAAAACTTGGATACTAAATTTAGCTCATTTAGCAGTAGGACTGGAGGAAATTGATTTCGCGCCATCTGGTTTGGGACCTTAATCTCTGAGGGTTCATCACTCCAATATGAAATAGAGTCCTTCGGGTGGCTTCTTTTATCTGATCCAGAATGTAAAATCATCTTCAGCCTCAACGGAACAGAAAATGCCTAAAATATTCTGTTTTCTTCCTACAAAGGGGTCTGTGGCCCTAGCAGCTTGTGCTCCGAGTCTGTGTTTTCAACACTAAGATTCCATTGCTTTTTATGACCCTTCTAATTCCCAGCAAAACTAGGGACCATTCATGGTGAAATCTAATGATGAGACCTATTTTATTATTTGCAACTTCATACTTGAGGACAGCATGTAGCCTACATTGCTGCAGTTACAATGTCCTCTCTTTTTTTTGTAACATGACATCTGACAAATGGATATTTTTGTCTCAAAAGTAGACGTGTGCAGACTGGTGTTTTGCAACTACAGTTCCCTAAATTTCCCAGATAGCCAGGAATCGTGCTGCCTGGAGAATTCTGGAAGCTGTAATCCAAAAACACACATTTGTACACTTTTACTCAAAAGCTTGCTTAGAAAAGGTTCTGTCTTTTATTTTCAAGGGGTTTCAGTTGAACCAATAACGGTGTCACTGCAATGCCCAGCTTCCACTGCATTAAATTAAAAAGCAATTAAATACTGCATGAACACCTAGGAATTCAAGTTACTAAATGTTCAAGCTAGATGTAGAAAAAGGAAGAAGCATACTGGAGCATTTTCTTTTCCCCATCTTGTGCCACATTACTATTGTTGATTTTTACTTTATTATATTATTTTTATTCCATGTTTTATTGTTAGCCGCCCAGAATAGACATTGGTCTAGATGGGCAGGGTAGAAATCTGATAAATAACTAAAATAAATAAATACTAAAGCATTTCAGAAGAAAATCAGTTGGGGCTTTGTGTGATTACATCAAAGCGTCTGCGCAAGATGAGACCACATTACTGGCAAGAAGTAACAATGTCTTGGAACTGATGAAAGTTAAAGAAGAAAGTGCAAAAGCAGGGTTATAGCTTAACAACTTAAAGACAAAAATAATGACTATAGAGAAATATATCACTTCAGTTTTGAGAAGGAGATACTCAAGATATTTATTTATTTATTTATTTATTTATTTATTTATTTATTTGATATCCCGCCTATCTGGTCGTGTCAGGACCACTCTGGGTGGCTAACAACATTAAAATCATACAATAGATATACGCATAAAACAATTTTACATGAGAAAGATATTAAATAGAATAGGAAAACTGAGGAGAGGGGGAAAAGGGGTGTCAGGAATTATCTGATGGGAAGGCCTGCCTAAACATCCAAGTTTTTAATTGGTTCTTAAAAGAACCCAGTGAGGGGGCCGCGCAAATCTCAGGAGGTAAGTTGTTCCAGAGGCGAGGAGCCACCGCCGAGAAGGCCCGATTTCTTGTCTTCTCCTTCTGGGCCTCCCTCGGCGTTAGCCTCCTCTGCCTCACCTCCTGGCTCGCGCGAGTGACACGGGTAGTTCT